GACTCAATTGACCACATTTTGCATTTGAGTAGCATCAATATTCCTTGTGCTAGATTGTCTTGTTCAAAATGTGGTCAGTGCTGCCACTTGGTGGTTGATTGAGAAGGCTTCAAGGGAATCATTTATGGGTCAAACTTTTTTTTAAACAAATGTATATAATCCTGGTTTTGCTCCCTTACCAATTTATCAAATCCTTCACTGGTTTGTTTTCTCTGTTGATCTGTGTGACTGATATAGATTGAGGCTAGTTTGGTCCATTGATGTTTCACTCTCATAGCTTTTGGTGCAGTCTCTATGACATCCATTAGCACAAACTGAAATGATAAACATATAATGTGTGTGTATATATACATTTATATACATATCTATCTACATATAAATATACACACATGTTACATATGTATTACATATTTTTCTATATATGTATTGAGAGAGAGAGAGAGAAAGAGAGAGAGAAAGAGATATGAATAGAGGATAGAACTGGGATTTCATTGGTACAGGAAAATCTGGTAAGGTGACTCTACTAAAGCAAGCTGACACCTTCTCTACAGCTCATAGTTTTAGAGATAGTGCTTGGCACATATTAAATACTTAATACCTGTTCTATCTGTCTTTCTGCCTTAGAGATTTGCCTAGGGCCCTTATGAGTCAAGAGATCCAGGGTCAGACAGCAAGTGTATATCAGAGACAGGATTTGAATTCTGGTTGTTCTAGCTTCTAGACCTCCCCACACCATATATCCCATAGCCTCTCTAAAAACAAACAAATATTATGGAGGATAATATTATCCGCTTCCTTAAACATGAAATTTAATTGTCCTTCCATCCTAGAAGGAAGTTTAGGACAACAATTTTGTCTCTGCAATCTAAAACCATTTTCAAATCGGGTTCTGTTTTTGTTTTTTTGTTTTTTTTCCACCCAAGATGAAAGATATTTCCAGAATGGCATTTCAAACCTTTGACTTATATGATATCTTTTGCACAATTTTAAGTCAAAACTCTTCCCAGTTTCATTAGGCTTCCAAAAGTAGTATTTCTGGTTAGGGTTTTCATTCAAGGGCTCTGAATGAATGGCTATATATTCCAAACTTCCGTTTAGAATGTTGTGGAACTTGTAGGCATTTCAAAATTACTTGGCAGCATGCTGGCTGATACAGCAGATGCAATCTCTTCTGGGTCAAAATGTTCCTTTGAGATTGTTAATTTATCATGTATCTCATGAGAGTGATAATGTCATAGCGTAAGATGTAGCTGCACAGTTACTAAAGGCTGTGGTTTGTTTTCTCTTTTGGGGGTTCTGGGGTGTGTGTGTGTGTGTGTGTGTGAAAGAGAGAGAGAGAGAGAGACAGAGATAAATAATGACAGAAACAAGGAATATAAATGGAGGAGTTTGAGCTTGTCTTACAGTCAGTACATTTGTAATAGCAGAGTTCCCCTTTGTAAGTACCCATTAACCTTACATGGGACAATTGGCTGTCATATATTTGGCTCACTCATTCTGAAAAGATGTATAAAGTATTATGCTCAAGGTGTTTTGTTTAGCACTTTGAATACAACCATACAACAGACTTGCTCATAAGGATTTTCCAACCTGACCAAAGGTAATGACGTACTCAAATGATGATGACACAAGGGAGATTAAGATAGGTACAAAAGGCAGGGTCAGGCAAGATACATAAGAAAATTGATGGGAGAAAGGGCACTTTGCCTTGGGAATTCAGGTAAGATTTATTGGGAGAGTTAGTCTTTAAGTTGTGTGACATGGGGAAAGTTACTTAATTGGTAAAATGAAAGGGAAGTTACGGCTAGACAAGCTTCAAGGTCTGGGATCCTATGATCCTAAGTTTCTTCTCAAATGTCCCCTTGAACAGAAGGGAGCTAGACAGTGGAGGTGACTAATATGGAAATCCTAGGACTGACATTCCTGACAGAAAGCTTCTCTATAATCATTCACGAGCTAGTATCTAAAGAGAGAAAGACCTCCAAATGGACTAAAAAGACTTTTCTTCCATAGGCTTTTCAGGAAAATCTGTGAAGTGTGAGGTGTATGAGCAAATGAATACTCATATTTCTCTGCCACCGTTGTCCTATTCGTACATCTTGAATAGAGGTGGAAATGTTGGGAATCTCCAACATTTAAAAAACAGTAATTTATTTATTTATACTATTTATACTATTTTATTTACTGTACTATATATAGTATATATATACTTTATATACTATACTATTATATATATACACTTTATATTCTATATACTATATAAAGTATATACTATATAATATAAATATATACTATATATACTTTATATACTATATACTATATATAGTGTATATATATACTTTATATACTATACTATTTATACTATTTTATTTATACTATTTATACTATTTTTTAAAGCTTTTCTTCTCCTTCTCAATCTTCCTCACTTTGTGATTTTTTTAAATCTATTGTCCCACAGTATTCAAACACAGAAAGGCACCCGGGGCGCACATTGGAGAAAATGATGGAATCCAGTTTTACTGGCAACCAACCTTTTCAAGAAGCCCATACTCCCAACAGAGGAAGCCAGTCCTTCAAACATCACAGGTAAATATAACTGAAAGCAAAATAGGGATCAGTAGTTCTCAGAACACGAAGTGATCAAGCAGATATTTACTTGATTTAGTAACACATACACCTACTAATAATTGTATTCCTGGTGGAGAATCTATAGTCTGTGAATTATACTCCAATCCATTTATAAACAGATGTCCAAACATCTCGCAGCAGGTAGACCAAGAAAGTTCATAATGCTGTTCATAGATAATATCACCTTGTGTGGAAAGCCTAAAGGACACATTAACAGAACTCAGCAAAGTTGTAGACACAGACCAGTGAATAAAACAATTGTATTCTGAAAAACTATTAAAAAGCATAACTTTTTCCCTCTTCTCTTGCATTATCTCAGTTTGTGAAGTTAATGACTCATTCCCCCTTAGGCAGATGGCATCATAAACGTTCAGTCTTCCAGCACAGTAACTTTAAACAAACAGATCTTGAAATGGGATAGGAACATGACAACCTCCCCTCCTGTGCTCACCAGTGACAATGCTATTTAAGGTAACAAACTAAATGAGAGTTGTAGAAGCTGATTGGCTGACATGTGCCTATTTTCTGGGGAAAACTTTCCAACACTTAGTATTTTCTGAGATGGTAAATTTCAGAGTTTCAAAGGACTTTAGAAATATCCTTATTTTACAGATTAAAAATATGACATGAATAGTTATAAATGGCTCAACTAAATGCAGGCACATGGATACAACTCAAACCCACATCTACTGCATTTAAATAGATGCTCATGGTTTACATTCCTCTAATTTGGTTGTCATGGCAATAGCAATTTTTTAAGAGCTTTGAATTAGTATCAGTTATGTCTCTTGAAGTGTATGATAATGCCTATAATGTACAGCTATCAAAAAATAAGAAAAAGCAGAATCCAGCAGTAAAGAATAAAAACAACTTTTTAAAATTAATTTATTGTATTTTTTTTATAAAACAATATGGCATGGATCAATCTGCTGTTAAATGATTCAATCTATGCAATTCATGCTGGGACTTAGATTCCAAAACCATAAAAAGAGTTATTTTATATATGATTCTTAAGGTTCCTTCTAAAATTATAGTTCTGTGGCTTGACAAATCAAACTGAAAAGAAATAGAACATTGAACAGCAGGGAAAAAAATGCTAGCTAAGGAATCAGGAGATCTGAGTTTGGTTCCCAGTCATGCCACTTTTGATCTACGAGACATTGAATATCACAACTTCTCTGACTCTCGGTTTCTTTGTAGATAAAATAAGGAGTTGGGACTAAATAATTTTTAAATTTTCATTTTGTTTTCAGTTTATGATATTATATTCTTTGTTTTTCTTCTAGCATCTTTTGCCTATGAATTTAAAATGTTCAAGTAACTTGGATATAATTGTCTATTTTAATGCATTATAATTTAGAATATTTATTCATCATCAGAATATTTGCTTTATGGCAGTGTAGTGTTAAAGGTAAAAGGGCTTCATGGGAATTTTCTTTTCCTTGGAGGAGTTAAAAAAAAGATCCAAATATCCCAGTCTTTTAGAAGCAAAATATTGTATTGCAAGCAATTTTCCTGAGATATTAAAAGGGGGAAAGTGTAGTGTGTATTATTAAAGCTACTCAAAATCTTATTCATTATATTTCTTCCAGTACTATAAAATGAAGTTGCAAATATAAAATTTGAGATTATTTCAAGCAATGAATGTTCTTGTTTTGTTTTGTTGTTTTTTTTTTTTCTTTCCCCTTTCTTGAGCGCGTCAGCGCTTGGAGAACTATTGTATTTCTGTTCATGGCAAATGTGCTGGCTCTTGTGCTTTGCTTAAATGACTTTTCCTAAGTATACTTCAAATAAATTATACAATAAACTCTTTAAGAGAAGTTTTTGTTTTGGACTGTACCCAAAGTGTTTTAGGTTAGTTGTCCCTCACATATATTTTTGTTCTGATAAATAGACAAGATTTGATGGATAAAGACGTTTTTGTAATTTTGTAATTTATAGTTTAATAGATCAGGCTTTTGTTTTGTAAGACATGCTGTAGACTTCAACATTTCCATGACTGATCACCCAATTGCTGATTTATACATCCTGCAAACTGCTCCATAACTTACCAAGTGCCACTGGTTTACAAGTACTATTTGGCTGATTGATTGGTAGTAGAAAAAGATCTTTTTCATTTTCAGTTGGGTCACTAGTTCATTCTTTATGACTAGTGGTATGATAGGTTTAAGTTACAAATAATTAACTTGTGATTATATATCTCAAATGCGACGCATTAAAGAAGTAATTTCTGAATCACAGCTAACAATCAGTCATAGAAATATCTTTTGAAGAAGTCTTCATTAAAATTGAGTGTTTCTTTTATTTGGGAACATTGAAAGAAATATTACAACATAAAATAATAATAACAATAATACCATAATAATAATATCATAATAATCATATTTTTCTTGAAGCATTTTTATCCAATAAAATCCGTTTATAGATTTTGTGAATATTATTAAACAACCATTCAGAATTAAATGAACTATCCATTTTAGGCTGTTCAATGTATAAGCTTCATTCTTTTTAATTGTTGGGACAAGGAGATATAAAATCCACCAATGATATTTTCTTTAGATGGGTTGGTGGAGATGAACATTCTTAGAGAAGCTGCCCATATTATGGATGGAGACTTTTAGTAACATACAATAATAATAATAAGTATGTTTTATGTGGTACATTAAAATGAAATATTTGTAAAACACTTAACCCCAGTGCTTGACACGTAGTAGTTACTTAATGATAAATGACTTGTCTGAGATCACACAGGCAATACCTGGCAGAACTGTATTATTAATCCATTTCCTACGAATGAATGTAAATCCAACACTCACGAAAAGAGTATATCATACTGCCTCTCATGGTCTATAGAAGGTCTATTTGAATATGGAAATGTTTTCAGTACTATTTCATGGAGTAATGCAGATATTCTCTAATTATGTGAGAATTTCGCACAAAAATGTCAAATTCACACTGTTGCCTAAGATTGTAAATCTGCCTAGAGCCATTTTGACTGGACTCTCTAAAATCTAATGGTAAATTACAACATATAGAGCAGTACAGGGGGTCAATTTAATCAGCCTGATGTAGTACAAAGGACATTGGAATGTAAATCAAAATATCTATGCTGAAATTCCCTCACTTATATTTACTATATAATACAGCCTCCAGCAAGTTATTTTTCCCTTTCTGAGCCCCAATTTTTGCTTCTATAAAAATGAGGATTTGTATTAGTTGATCTTTAACATCCTTTCCAACTCTGATAGTATTTTCCTTATCAGTTTACAAATTTAACGGAAGAGAGGAAAATCAAACTATTTGATTGAAGAGACGGCTCACCGCAGGGGCCTGAGGTAGACTGGGCTTACAGTAAAACTTATTCAAGACTCCTGTGCCTTAGTAATACTGCCAAAACATATGTATGTGTCAAAACTCTTGTAGAATGTATACTTAGTTGTATCTAGGAGCAGACTGAAAAGAAAACCAATGTGGATCCCACAATACCTGAAAATTTAGGGTATTGAGTTGGGAATTGTGTTCTGAGAAGAGAATGTCAGTTTCAACAAGGTTTCTTTATATAATAGCTGAAACAAGTGCAAATTTCCAGACAAATCCCTGCAGAGCTCTCTGTGTTTATTTACTGTTGGTCTTTAATAATAAGACTTGTTTATTTTTCCCTGAGCAAACTGCATCAGAGAGGAAGATGACAAGAATTTAGTGGGATGGGTCTTGGTGGGAATTTTGTAAAACGAAACAAAACAAACAAACAAAAAACCTGATTCAGCCTTCTGCAGTGCTTATTTTATTTTATTTGTGCTTTAAATTATTATGCAAGAAATCATAGGAAGGCTCTGCCTCTCCAATTCTTTAAGTTTAAACCAGAGTAAGTAATACCTTTCTAATATCACATGCTTCCCACCCTATAGGGCACATACTCTGAAGGACCAAGTACTCTTGGACCTGGCCATCCACCCTGTTGCTGAAACATTAGGGCAGCTGACTTTCCAGTTTTCTTGCACTAAATATTCCTATGTGTGTTGACTTCCACAATCACATTATGAACATTCTGAGAGTAGGCACTCTCTTTTTCTTGTAGGCACATAAGAATCTCACCACCAACATCACCACCACCATTATCATGGTTCATAGCTAATGTTTATATGGAGTTTTAACATATACAAAGAAAAACCTGTTAGATAGTTGCTATTATTACCCCCATTTTATGAAAGAGGAAACAGGCTGAGTGACTCAGGGCTCACACTCCTAATACATATCTTAGTCAAGATTCAAACCCAAGTCTTCCTGACTCTAAGAACACAGCTCTATTCCACTATGCTACACTACTTTCACCTATAATACATTGGCTGAGAGATTTACAACTATGAATTTTTGTGTGATATATATGTGTGTGTGTGTGTGTGTGTGTGTGTGTGTGTGTGTTATACAACCTGACCAACCAGATATAGTAAATGTTGTGTTTCCTGTTAGGATCTTTCCCTATGGAGCCCATTTTGTTTGCTTTCTACTTTTATTCTACAAACTTCATCCCCTTCCTTCTTTTCTTGTTTAGGGGTCTTTCTTCATGCTGTAGCCCAGGGCAAAGGACTGGGATGCTACATCGGAATGCTTTCAGAAGGACACCACCTTCTCCTCGGAGTCGACTCAATGGGATTGCAGGACCAGCATATCAACAACTGGAAGAGGCAAGGATTGCAGATCAAGACACAATTCCTTGCCAAGGGTAAGAACCCCCCCCACACACACATATACACACACAAAGAGTAATAATAATATTTGCAAAAGTGCTTTAAAATTTGCAATGTACTTTACCCAGAAGAAATATGTCAGGAAAGTAGAATAGTTCTTATTTTAATCTCTATTTTGCAAATGAAGACCAATGTGGTTAAGTGGCTTAAGCACTGAAATTCAGTTATTAAGTGGAGAAGAATAACAGAATGATTGAATCATAGAAAATCAGAATGGAAAATAATACCTGGGGTTATTGAGTCCAAAATGTCCTGAATCAATTCTACACTATCCCTGGTATGTCATGTTTGTAGTCATTTTCTGTTTTTGTCATCTTTGTAATCTGATGGGTATGAAATATGATCACATCATTGTTTTAATTTGTGTTTCTCTAATTATTAATGATTTGGAGCACTTCTACTTTTTGACAGCTTGGATTTCTTCTTTTGAAGACTGCCTAATAATTTCCTTTGGCCATTTGTCTATTTTGGAACAACTTATTATTATCAATTTAAATCAGTTCCTTATACATCTCAGTTAAGAGATTTATCAAAGACACTTTCTGTAAAGATGCCTTTTCACAATATGTTACCCTTCGAATTTTAACAACATAGTGTTTTTTTAATATAAATTCATTTTAAGATTTCATGTAATCAAAACTATCAATTTTCTCATCTGGGGTGCTTTGTATCTTTTGTTTGATCATGGACTCTTCCTGTGCCCATACTTCTGAGGAATTTTCTTCCTTTTTTCCTCTAATTTATTTGTAATACGACCTTTTATACCTAAGTCATTTATCCATTTTCAGTTTATCAAGGTATATGATGTGAGATGTTGGTTAATTCCTAACTTCTGCCAGACTGCTTTCCAGATTTTCCAGTGATTTTTTTTTAATTAATAAGCATTTTAAGTGTCAATTATTGTCAGACACTATTCTAGGATCTGATAGCAGAGATTAAAACAGCAAAATCCTTACCCTCAAGGAAATTATACACTATTAGGATGTTACTTCAAACAGTATCTCTGACATTCTTTCCCTTCTTTCCATTCGTGTGGCTGCCATTTTGGTTTAGGAATTTATCAACTTCATACCTAGACTATTTTAGTAGTCTCACATTAAGATTCTCTTTTTCCATTTTTCCCTTTTCCATTCTGTCCTCTACACACTTGCCAAAATAAAATACCTAAAGGTCTGCGCATATCACACACTGGGTCCAGAATCTTTAAGAGATTGTCTATTGTCTACAGAATAAAATATGAACTCCTTAGCTTGGAATTAAAAATTCTTTATAGTCTGACTTCAGTCTAACTATGCAGTTTAACTTATATTGCATTATCTCAATACAGACACTCTTGGTTCCAGCCAAATGGCTATTTCTACCTCCATGTCTCTACACAGACTGTTATCTATACCTAGAATGTATTCTCTTCCCACCTCTGTCTCAAAAGTCTTGGCTTTCTCTTTAAAAAAAAATCAGTATATATTTTTAAAAAATATTTATTTATTTTTAGTTTTCAACATTCACTTTTATAACATTTTGAATTTCAATTTTTTTCCCCTTCCTTCCCTCTTCCTCCCCAAGATGGTATGCAACCTGATGTAAGCTATGCATATACAATCATATTAAACATATTTCCACATTAGTCATATTATGACAGAAGAATCATAATAAAAGGGAAAAACCATAAGAAAGAGAAAAAAAAGAGAGAAAATAGTATGTTTCAATATACATTTAGACTCCATAGTTCTTTCTCTGGATGTGGATATCAATTTCTATCATAAGTCTTTTGGAGTTATCTTAGATTTTTGCATTTCTGTGAAGAGCCAAGTCTATCAAAGTCAGTCATCACACAACTGTGACTGTGTACAATGTTCTCCTGGTTCTGCTCACTTCACTCAGCATCAGACCATACAAGTCTTTCCAGGTTTTTCTGAAGTCAGCCTGTTCATCATTTCTTATAGCACAATAGTACTCCATCACATTCATATACCACTACTTGCTCAGCCATTCCCCAATTGATGGGCACTCCCTCGATTTCCAATTCTTTGCCACCACAAAAAAGCTACTATAAATATTTTTGTACATGTGGGTCCTTTTCCCATTTTTATGATCTCTTTAGGATATTGACCAAGAAATGGTATTGCTGGGTCAAAGGGCATGCACAATTTTATAGCCGTTTGGGCATAGTTCCAAATTGCTCTCCAAAATGATTGGATCATTTCACAACTCCACCAACAATGCATTAGTGTTCCAATTTCCCCATGTCTTCTCCAACATTTATCATGGTCCTGTTTTGTCATGTTAGCCAACCTGATAGGTGTGATCTGGCACCTCAGAATCATTTTGATTTGCATTTCTCTAATCAATAGTGATTTAGAACATTTTTTCATATGACTGTGGATAGCTTTAGTTTCTTCCTCTGAAAACCACCTGGTCATATCCTTCGACTATTTGTCAATTGGGGAATGACTTGTATTCTTATAAATTTAACTCAGCTCTATATATATTTTAGAAATGAGGCCTTTAGCAAAGATCCTAGCTGTAAAAATTGTTTCTCAGTATTCTACTTCTCTTCTAACCTTGGATGCATTGGCTTTGTTTGTGCAAAACTTTTTTTTTAATTTAATGCAATCAAAATTATCCAACTTGCATTTCATAATGTTCTCTGTCTCTTGTTTGATCATAAATTCTTCCCTTCTCCATACATCTAACAAGTAAACTATTTCTTACTCTCCTACTTTGCTTATGGTATCACCCTTTATGTCTAAAACATGTACCTATTTTGACCTTACCTTGGTATATGGTGTGAGATATTGGTCTATGCCTAGTTTCTCTCACAATATTTTCAATTTTTCCCAGCAGTTTTTGTCAAATAGTGAGTTCCTATCTCAGAAGCTGGAGTGGTTGGGTTTATCAAGCAATAGATTACTATAGTCATTGACTACTGTGTCTTGTGTACCTAACCTATTCCAATGACCCACCACTCTATTTTTTAGCCAGTACCAAGTAATTTTGATGATTGCTGCTTTATAATATAGTTTTAGATCTGGTACGGCTAGGCCACCTTCCCTTCCTTTTTTTCACTAATTCCCTTGAAATTCTTGATCTTTTGTTCTTCTATGAATTTTATTATTTTTTCTAGTCCTATGAAATAATTTTTGACAGCTTGATTGCTATGGCACTGAATAAATAAATTAATTTAAGAAGAATTATCATTTTTATTATATTACTTAAGCCTACCCTTGAGCAACTGATATTTTTCCAATTATTTAGTTCTAGCTTTATTTGTCTGAAAAGTGTTTTACAATTATGTTCACATAGTTATTGGGTTTGTCTTGGCAGGTAGTCTCCTACATATTTTATATTCTTTTCAGTTACTTTAAATGGAATTTCTCTTTCTATCTCGTGTTGCTGGACTTTGTTAGTAATATATAGAAATGCCAGTGATTTATTGAGGTTTACTTTGTATCCTGCAATTTAGCTAAAGTTGTTAATTATTTCAAGTAGGTTTTCAGTTGATCCTCTAGGATTCTCTAAGTATACCATCATATCATCTGCAAAGAGTAATAGCTTTGTTTTTTCATTGCCTATTCTAATTCCCTCAGTTTCTTTTTTTCTTCTCCTACTACTAAAGCTAACATTTCTAGTACAATATTGAATAGTAGTGGTAATAATGGACATCCTTTTTTCACCCCTGATCTTATTGGAAATGCTTCTAGCTTTTCTACATTACATATAATAGTTTCTGATGGTTTTAGATAGTTGCCATTTATCATTTTAAGGAAAACTCCATTGATTCCTATGTTCTCTAAGGTTTTTAATAGGAATGGGTACTGTATTTTGTCAAAACCTTTTTCTGCATCTATTGAGATGATCATATGATTTCTTAATTTTGTTGTTGATATGGTTAATTATGCTGATAGTTTTACTAATATTGAACCAGCCCTACAGTCCTGATATAAATCCCACTTGGTCATAGTGTATTATCCTTGTGAAAAGTTGCTGTAATCTCTTCGCTAATATTTTGTTTAAAATTTTTTGTATCAATATCCACTAAGGAAATTGCATCAAAATTCATTAGGTCTATAACTTTCTTTCTCTGTTTTGTATCTTCCTGGTTTAGGTATTGGCAACATATTTGTATTGTAAAAAGAATTTGGTAGGACTTCTGTTTTGCCTGTTTTTTCCAAATAGTTTATATAGTATTGGAATTAATTGTTCTTTAAATATTTGGTGGAATTCACTTGTAAATCTGTCTGGCCCTGAAGATTTTTCTTAAGGAGTTCATTGATGGATTGTTCAATTTCTTTTTCTGAAGTGGTATTATTTAAGTATTTTATTTCCTTTACTGTTAATCTTGGCAATTTATGTTTTTGTAAATATTCATTAATTTCTCTTAGATTATCATTTTATTGGCATAGAGTTGGGCAATATAGCTCCTAATTATTTTAATTTCCTCTTCTTTGGTGGTGAATTCACCCTTTTCATTTTTGTTTCTGGTAATTTGGATTTCTTTCTTTTTTTTAATCAAATTAACCAAAAATTTATTTTTTTATCCCCCACTAGTACAGTTTTGCTGTCTATTTTTTTTCCTGCAACTCACTTAACTTCTCCTCTAAGAATTTGAATGCTATACCACTTGACTTGGTACATATATGTTTAGTATTGATAGTACTTCATTGTCTATGATATCTTTTAGCAGGATGTAGTTTCCTTTCTTACCTCTTTTAATTTGATCTATTTTTGCTTTTGCTTTGTGTAAGATCAGGATTGCTACCCCCAACTTTTTCTTTTTACTTCACCTGACGCGTAATATGTTCTTTTCTAGCCTTTTACCTTTACTCTGTGCATATCTCTGTGTTTCATATGTGTGTTTCTTTTAAACAACATATTGTGGGATTAAGGTTTAATCCACTCTGCTATTTGCTTCCATTTTATGTGAGAGTTTATCCCATTCACATTCATAGTTGATTACTGTGTTTTTCTTGCCATC